TTATAGATAATTAATTTGTAAAAAAAATTGCAAACAACAATTATAATGTAAATRCATGTTTGATGTTTCATAGTATACAATTGTTAACCGTAGGTGTCCAGGTCAGTTTGTGCACACCTCAGCTTGCAAGGCTCGAGCTAATGACCTTCAAAGAGAATCCTTGATAGCCCAAATCTTATTATCAGTCAAGCTAAGAGACTGTTTACTTGTGGCTTAATTAGGCTTATTGATCTATATGGCTTATTCGCACAACTCATTTGGGTTGTTTACTTACTGCTTATTCGCACAAAACATGGCTTAATCGCACAGATAGAAATGGTGTGTCCCCATTCAGCCACAAAAATGACACTCATACCCCTTATTTAAAGCACCACCTCCTTCCCATATGARACACTCCATCGTCGGCCTCTTTATGAACCTTTGTTTTGATATTCAAATAATTAATATTTGGGGTAAATTGGTCATTTATGTTATTTAGACTATTGGTTCAGATAAAAAAAGTAAACAACACCACCATTTATCCATACAGACAAATTTATCCATACAAGACTTAATAAAAAATTTGGTAAACAGCCCCTTAAACTATACTAGGTAAATAATATACAAATCTGGTTAAGAAATAATACATATTAATTGTTTGAACTCGATAAAACAAAAATACAATTTTTTGTCCACGAAAATAGATAAAACAAAAATAAGAGAGATGACACAATATAGGTAAATTACTAAACTACCCATGTAAAAATTAAAACCTTAAAACTTTCCACAATTCTTTCATCAGCCTACCTCACTTTGGGTAGTCCAGTTCAATCCGGTCCACATACCAAACACACCCAGAGGGAACTTGAACATGAACCGGTAACCTTTCGAGAACAAACCCAAGATCTTGTCATTTTCCATCTCGTGGATATCAATCACCGTGTATATATATATATAACGTAAACGAAACCCAAAACCACATCCTSGTTTCGGGCCGAACCATATAAAAAAGAAGCTTAATTTATACACTTTGATTCTATGAAACATGTCCCAATATATGCAGGAGAATAAGAATTAGGAATGTGATTCACATATGAATATTATGAAACAAGAACCTGTACACCTTTTTGTGAGTGTGAAAGAGATTCCCTATGGTGTTTTTGTGAGAGAAAGTGATGGTCAGAAGCAGAAGGCATGATGGGTCTAATATTGCCTGGATTCAATGGAAACAAGAACTTGTAGTAACCATCCATCATTGCTTCAAGATTGCAAGTCTCTGCAACCTGTGGAATCTGTAAGCAAACACTCACTTTTAAAACTTGTGCA